CCCGCACACGGGACATGTAGGGAAGCGTGGCTCGTGATCCGAGTCCGGCTCCCAACGATCCTTGGTGCGCAACACCGCCGTCGGCGTGGCCTCGGTTGGCGGCGGTCTGGGCCACGAGGAAGAGCAGGTGCGGCGCTCGTCGTCGGCTGCTCTCTCTCCCCGGGAGCACTGAAGAGAGCCAACGGCAGCCAACACCCCTGGGCCTCCCAGGCGGGGTCGCTTGCTGGGGTCACTCTGTGTCCCTCGATAGTTCCGGGGGCCCCTGCAGTCCGGGGTGGGGGGTCCCTGTAGTAGTCCCGGGGGGGGGGGTACTTGTAGTCCGGGGGAGAGGGGGGGTACCTGTAGTCCAGGCGGGGGGCACCTGCAGTCCGGGGGGGGGGTACGGAAGGGGTACAGTCAAAAACCTTTAATAAGGACGCGCGTTTTTGCTCAGGGTACCCTTGCGTCCTTGCTCTTCCTTGCTCTTGTGTCCTTGAGGTTGTCGTCGTCCGCCGCCCCAAAAATCCCAACTTCGGCTTCTAAGGGTCTTGCGTCCTCACCGCGCGTCCTCATTAGGGTTTTTGACTGTACTTGTAGTCCGGGGGGTACCACTACCCTCGTCAAAATTGACCTCAACAGTTGCTGGCATGTCATTTCGATTTCGGCGCGCCGCCCCTCCATGTCGACACGCCGCCCCTTCAATGTCGGGGCGAGCGCAAAGATAGTCCGACCGAAGCTGACTCGAAAGTTTGACGTCGACCGACATTGGAGGGGCGGCGCATGCAAGTACCCCGCACTCATCGACACTCGGCCCCAGATCTTCCGACAGGCCGTTCAACCGCGTCAGACATGTTTGAGGGTCATTTTGACGAGGGCTGCAGAACTGTACAGTCCGGGGACGCAGAACTACATGTTGAGGTGCGCGGGGTGCACGCGTCGGCTGCAGGGCGCAGGAGCAGGCGCGCACCAGCGCCTCGGCCCCCCGAGGCGCGGGGCCGGAGGCGCGCGCCCGAGCGCCCAGAGGGGGGGGGGGGCGGGCAGCCGCAGGGAGGCGTCGAGCAGCGGCGAGGCGTCCTGGCTCGCCTGTGCTTCGAGGGCGCCCTCGAGGGCGCGAAGTGACTCGCGCCTCGCGCTTCGGCTCCGATTTTCTCCTCCTCCTCCTCCTCCTCCTCCTCCTCTTCCTCCTCCTCCTCCTCCTCCTCCTCCTCCTCCTCCCCCTCCTCCTCCTCCTCCTCCTCCCCACGGCCGAGCCCTGCCTTTAAAGCTTTGGGGCCCTCCAGCCGAGGTGGGGTAAGGTGGGCGGGAGCAGAGTGCACCTAGTGCCACGCGTGACCAGTATATATTGAGTCACCGCGCCCTCTAGAAGCGAGTCAGTTCGGAGCTTACATTATTTTAGCTTCGGAGTTCCCCGCGTTACGGCAGGATCATCTGGCACCCTTCTGCAGAGTCGTTCGTTCGTTCGTTTTCCTCCTCCTCCTCCTCCTCCCCTCCTCCTCCCTCCTCCTCCTCCTCCTCCTCCTCCTCCTCCTCCCCTCCTCCTCCCCCTCCTCCTCCTCCTCCTCCCCCTCCTCCTCCTCCTCCTCTGTTCGCGCTTCGCGCGGCGCGGGAGCGCGAAGTGGGGAGCCTTTGCCTCTACGTGGCATCGCTTGGGCGCGTGCATGTTTCCCTCGGCGAGGACCATCGAGGAGCATCCCGGATCATCTAGCGAGAAACAACCACGCTGGCGGCTGGGAGTCGGCGCTAATCATGGGCGCCGCTGCCGTTGATTTTCAATCTGGCGGGCGCTACCCCGCGATTCGCCCGAGCAGGGGAACCATTCTTTTAAACGCGCGCCCCCCACGGATCTGTTAATCACAAGCTGACCTTGGCATCGCTCGGACGTGTGCATTTTTCCTTCGGCGAGGACCATCGAGGAGCATCATTGATCATGTGGCGGAAAAAAACCACGCACGAAACAAACAAAAACACAAGGAATGAACGTCCGAGCGATGGCCAATGATATGGATCGCTGGTGCGTCCGGTTGGCTTGGGGGGCTGTTTGGGGCCCCGTCCAGGGCTTGCGTTGGCTGGCCTGGCGGGGGGGGGGGGCGGCGCTGGGCCCGGGTCGCCCGGGTCGCCTGGGACAGCGCCGGGCGAGCCCGGCAACCCCAACGGCGTTCCGGCGGCGAGCCCAGGATGAAAATGAGTCGGGGGCGGAAAAGAGGGGGGTGATGACTAGGGGGGGTGGATATCATGGCGGGGGCCATGAAATTTCCCCTGATCTCTTGGCGCCTCTTCTTATTTCATTACGTCCCTAGCTCCCCCGCTGGGCCGCGCACATGCCGCCGGTCATGATTTGCCCCCCCCCTCTTGGACACCCCCTTCTTGGCCGCTCCCAAGTAACCCCAACGGCGTTTCGGCGGCGAGCCCAGGATGAAAATGAAAGGAGGCGCGGGCCTTTTTCAGAATTCTCGGAAGCCCCCCGGCCTTTGAGAAGTTGTCTACGCCTTCCCCGACGACGCAGATTCTGTCGTTCAGAAGGTGCGGGGGGGTTCTAAGAAGTCCCGCCGCCTTCTGAGGAGGCCTTGTCCTTTTCACTTCCCCCCCTCGTTCGCCGCCGAGCGGTGCCAGGGAGGTACAGGGGAGCGATTGCCATCAAAAGAGCAGGGTGCTCCCCAAGGCCCACCGAAAGCCATCCTCGGAACCTCGGGCCCTGAGATGCCCTGACTTGATGTGCTCTGGTTCGTTTCGCACGAGGTTTCCTCACAGTTCTGGGTTCCAAGATGTGTCTCGCGAGGTACTTAGGCACATTTCGCTTCCGACATCCTCGGGACCCTTGGCTCTGACCGTTTGGCCTGAGACGTCCTCACAAGTCGGGGTTGAAGATGCGGCTCAAGAGGTGCTCAGGCTCGTTTCGCTTGAGACATCTCGGGACTCTGGGCTCCGAGATGCGCTGACTGATACTCAGGACTATGTCGCCTAAGACATCCTCTGGACCCCGTGCTCTTCTGAGATGCCCTGAATTGAGGTACGTGCGCCACGCTTGAAAGCAACATTGACGGAGTTGTTGTTGGGGTTGCCCCCCAAGTGCAAGGGGAAGTTGGGGACCAGTAGAAAGTGACAGAACAAACTAGAAGAAATCGCTGTATGGACGTTGTGGGGCAGTTTGGGCCGCCTCGGAGACTTCAGGAATTCGGTGAGCCCGGACCTCCCCCTGGAGAGTTCGGCCAGGGGTCGTTCTTGGAGTTGTTCGGGGGTTCCAAGGGGTGGATTACGTCACACGTTTGAGACACACAAGGGGCCAACGGGTTTACCAAATAGGAAGGCCCAGGAACGAAATGGTTTTTGGATTGCTCCGCGGTTTGGACGCGGCGGGTGACGGGATACGCACTGAGATTCGAGGAGAGGCGCCATGTACATCGCTTCTCGGTCCAGAGGAGAGCATTTGTCGATTGCGGGGATTCGGGAGGTGAATGGCTCAGGATTCTTCTTCCGTCGGGGCGCGGCGGATGACGAGAGGCGCACTCAGACCCGAAGAGTCGCGCGATGGACGTTGCTTGCCAGCCCGAGAATATGCGACAATTGGGGAGTTAGTCTCTCGAGGTCTCCTGGATGGGGTCCGAGTAGGCGGGGTCGGAGGATCGCGCCGCATCGCCGATGCATCGACGATGGGGCTCGATGTGGAGCCCGATTTTCCCCGCGCCGACGTCGCGGATGCGTCGCCGACGTCGCCGATACATCGCCGATGCATTGGTGAGACGGCGCGATCCTTCGACCCCATCTAGGAGGCCTCTGGTCTCAGGAGTGGAATTACTCGGGATTGCTCCACGGCTGGGACTTGGCGGATGACGCCTAACGCGTTTAGACTCGAAGGGTCGCGCTTGTGGTCGGAAGCTCCAAAACATTGTAACAAGCATCAGTTGTTCAACAGTTTCGGTTTGGATCGGAATTCCGACGAAAGAGCAGCTCTTCAACATCGGTGTCGGTTCGAAAACGAAGCATGTTTCCTCTAACCTGGATGGGTCACGAGCCTGTCTACGTCAAACAGTTGGGGACAGTAGTGTTGGATTGGCATGTTGCGGTTTCTTCTCCAACTCGTTCCCGATATGTTCTTGTCCTCGTTTCTCCTCCACTCCTCCTCGTTTGCCGTTGTCGGCCGTATTTGGAGCTCTTTTGGGGCACCAAGAGATGGTTCAAAAGGCGGCGTGGCAGTCCTTCAGGGGAGGTTTTCACTACCTGTGTCTTCGTTCGGAGATCCGATAACGGCAGCATTTCAACATCGATATCGATTGACTTACGAATGTTGATCCATGTTACCCGTATGGGTTCCCAGCCCGCTTACGTACACCACTTACAGACACATGAGTTGCATTCGTCTGTTGAGGGTTCTCATGCATTTTTTCCTCCACTCCTCGCTCGCCGTCTGGAGCTACTCTTGGGAAGGTCAGCGAGTCGGCTTGGCAGCCACGTTGGTGTGTGAGTGTGTGTCCACAGTTGTCCTCTGTTGATGTTATGGGAGCTAGCCTAGATGTATGTGATCTTGATGTTGTTGTACGCTCGTGCGCAGGCGTTTCAATGTCACGCCCTTCCCCTTCATGCCAATACATGTTTCTCAAACATCGATGTTTCGATCGAGACATCCTCCAACGGTCTGCCTCGGATAGAGCTCTAAACCAATACCGTCGTGGATCGCTCCTGGGCTTCAGAATTGCGAAGAAGAGCGCAACCATGCCTTTTGGCAGCCCAGAGAGCACGCAAGGGCCCACGAGGCTCCCATGAGCGCCCCAAGATGGCCAAAGAGAGCCCAAGAGAGCCCCAAGACGGCCAAAGGAGGCACCAAGACAGCCCAAGGGTGCCCCCAAAGTCCCCAAGGCACTCCCAGACAGTCCAAAAAGGTCTTGACGCCCCCGATCCGTAGCCATGCCGGCTCAAGTCAGGGCGTTCGTCCGCGTCCTTGAGATAGGTTTCTGCGGACAGGAACGAACCTGAGGTTTTTATTTTCTGCTTCATCATCGCTTGTTGGCGACTTTTGGACCGTTCCGATGATATCGGCGGTCAATGCGAATCCCCAATGTTACATATACATCGTCGGAGCCTTTGCAGCCGTGTGCGTCACTTGCGACCTGGCCCTCTCGTGCCTGAGCCAGACCTCTGGCAGCATGGTGGCGTTCTCGGCCATGCTGTTTCTCCTTGGCTTTGCGGCCCAGGCGCAAGAGGAGCTGCAGGCCCGGTGTGCCAAACCGTCTCCGCCGAGAGAGCTCCATCGGGGCAGGAGCGCTGCCAGCGAGTGCGAGGGCCGGACCGGGCAGCCGGCCGCCAGGGGCAGAGGCGGCTGCGCCGCGGCACCCGCGGCGCGGCCCACAGCTGAGCGCGGGCCCCGCCGGGCGGGCCAGGCCGTGGAGCCCCAGCCCGAGCCTCCCGAGAGGCCGCGGCACATCCCGTGGTTTGTCCGTCGTGGCCTCGCGGGCGCGCAGGTCACCGCAGAGGGCGAGGACACCCCGCAGGGGCCGGCGCCGAGCCGGGCCATGCGCCAGCGCACGGCCGCCGACGCCTCAGCCTCCGCGAGGAAAGGCGGGCAGGCGGGCCAGTCCCCCACGGATTCGACGATCGGCCAGCAGCTATCGACGCGGAGCTCGGCCGTGCGCCTGCGCACAACAGCCGATGCCGCAGCCTCAGCGAGCGAAGGCGAGAAGGCGGGCCCTTCCTCGACGTCCTCAACGGAATTCCAGAGCGACGCGGCCTGCGACGCGGAGGAGGCGTCCACAGATAGGCGGCCGGAAGAAATACCAACGGCCACCGAGCGCACGCCTTTGAGCAGAGAGGCGCCGACGTTCGTTCCGAGGACGTTTGAGGATCCGTTGCGGATGCTGCTTGACGCGTCGGCGTGGTGCAGGCAGGACCTCTACGCGCCCCGCCAGTACGGTCAGTTCCCGCAGATCGCAGCGCAGCAGATGGACCCTCACCCGGTGGGCCAATACGATCTGTTCCCGCACATCGCCGCGCAGCAAGTGGACACCTGCGACCTGGCCCAGAACGATCACTTCCCGCAGATCGCAGCGCACCAGATGGACCCTTGCGCTCTGGGCCAGTACGGTCAGTTCCCGCAGATCGCAGCGCAGCTGATGGGAGGCCCTCAAGACGAGTGCACGACGGTCATGTTGCGCAACTTGCCATGCCCCTTCCTCCGCGAAGATTTGATCAAAGCGATGGACGCGAAAGGTTTTGCGGGGCTGTATAATTTCGTCTACATGCCCATCGATTTCCAGACCGCTATGGGCATGGGGTATGCGTTTGTCAATCTTATACCGTGATGGCTTCGCCCTCTGCCAGTGCCTCCCCCTCCTATTTCAAACATGTCTGGGAACATCATGCGAGGACGATGGGCATTCAGCAAGCACCTGGAGATGTTCAGTCACGCGCAGAGGGGTATAGGGGGGAGGGAAGGCTTCAGCTGTAGGGCGGGCGCCTTCTAAGAAGCAGCCTCCTTCTAAAAAGCTGTCCTTCCTCCCCTACCCCCTGTGCGCACCGCCAATATTTTGGACATGTTGTTGAACGCATTATATCTTTTTGGCAGCGTGAACCTGGCATGATTTACAGCATATTCTTGCCTCGGGAGCGCGAATCTGGCGTAAGTCACTAAGGATTCTGGCTTCGGGTGCAATTGAATATGGATTCTGGTTTCGGGAAAGCGAATCCCGAGTAACGTGCGAGGGATTCTCATTTCGGAAGCGCGAGCCTGGTGCACTGTATGAAGGATTCTGGCTTCGGGAGCGGGAGTTCGGCGTAACTTGCAAAGGAGTCTGGCTTCGGGAGCGCGAGTGTGACGTAATATATGAAGGTTTCTGGCCTCGGGCGCGGGATTCAGGCGTAGAATCAAACGGATATTGATTTCGGAGGCGCGAAACTGGATAACTCACGAGGGCGCGAATCTTTCGTATTTTTTGGTGTCCGAGGGCTCACCAGAAATTAGGCAACGCGCGCTGGGGACGGTGGCCAGGGTATTGTTTGGTTCCGCCCCTCGCGAGGACAGTAACAGTTTATAGCAGGAAGCAGACAGTAGCACTATAACATTGGAAACTGAAAATTGGAACTAGCGCAGTGCAGGAAACCTCTGCCACGCAGCCTGGTGGCCCCGCAAGGGACCAGGGGATTTCCGCAGAAGAGATGCAGCGTTTCACGCTTTCCTTCACGGGATTCAAGAATTGGCCTCTCCCGTCGTCGAAGGTCTGTGTTGTCGCTCTGTCTCGGACGCAGGGCCTGGACGCAAACATCGCTCGGTATCGGAACAGCTCTGTCATGAGCGACGGGGTTCCTGAGCGGTTCAGGCCAGTGCTCTTCGAAGGGACAGAGCGTGTCGCCTTTCCAGAACCCTCGGCACATGTACCAGTCGTCTTCCGTGGTGTTGATTTCCCGCTGATGGCAACGCACCGACAGGATATCCAGCGTGACGAATGCACAACTGTGATGCTGCGCCACCTGCCAAGCTCTCTCCTACGCGAAGATATGATAAAGTTGCTAGACGCGGAAGGCTTTGCGGGGACGTATAATTTCGTCTACGTGCATATACACTCTCTGACCGAAATGTGCATGGGATACGCGATTATCAACATGGTATCCACCGCGGAGGTGCAGCGCCTCGCGAGTGCGTTCCAGGGATTCGGGAAGTGGCCTGTCCCGTCTTCGAAGGTCTGCAGCGTTCAGTCTACTTGGATACAAGGCCTGGACGCAAACATCGCTCGGTATCGGAACAGCCCTGTCAATGGCGACGGGGTTCCTGAGCGGTTCAAGCCGGTGCTCTTCAACGGAACAGAGCGGATTCTTTTCCCAGGGCCCACGGGTGAATATTGGCCGTAATCGGACAGCATGCTCGACATGCATGTTCGTATACACGTCAAAGCCATATGAGCTGACGCTACTTCGTCAGGGGCTGATAGCGGAATTCGTGGCGCGTGTATATAGTTCGGTGGCCACGTTTTCTGATGGGCCCCACAGGGACAGGGCGGCACCAGTTGCATTACCCGCCTGCGTTGTCGTAGGAGCCGCGGGCGTCTCGCGTTTATTTCTTTGAGAGTCACGCGCGTCTCACGGGTCTTCGGCAGAATTTCTTCAAGAGGCGTCTCACGTTTTCCAGACCTTGGGATGGGGCCTCGGCGAGTCGTGAGATGTGGGCAGTCCAGGGGAGGGGGTGGAGACCACCGAGCGCCAGCAACGTGTTGTTGGCAGACGCGACCCAGTGCGCCAGCAGTGCGCTGTTGGAGACCAACGTGCCTTGGGCAGCGCGAGCTGCTCACGACCTGGTCGTAGTGATCCAAGAACCCACACAGCGCTTGCATCCAGGAGTTTTTACGCTTGTTCTAAGGAGCTGGCCCGTGTCTTCGGTCTGGCGGCCACGTGGCCGCCGTCGCCGCTTCGTCGCCGCCCGTCGTCTGGGCCGTGTCTTCGGTCTGGCGGTTCTGGGGCCACATTCGCCGCTCCGTCGCCGCCTCGTCGCCGCCCGTCTTCGCCGTTGGACTGCACCACAGAGGTTGCACAAACAAAAAAGCGCTCGCCGAGCGCTTTCAGGTCGGCCACAACACAGATTATTGAACCACGTATATATCACAACATGGACTGCATCACACAGGTTGCACAGCATAGACTGTACAAACACATCTATTGCACCACCTGGATTGCACCACGTAGATTGCATGCCACATCCCGCACAGCAGTAGTTCCACCACATAAATTGCACAGCCGAGATTGCACAACATGGATTGCGCAACATTCATTGCACAACATGGCTTTTACCGCACACAGTGCACATCCTATATTGCTCCACAAACACTGCTCAGCATACATCGCACAACATATGTTGCAAATCATAGATTGCACAACATAGGTCGCAGCACATATGCCGTACCACCTAGATTCTCTTTTCTAAAGAGAGAATAGACTCTACCCCCCCCGGAGTTATCCGTATTCTTTTCGGGTGTGTAAATCGTGTGTGGTTCTGACCACATGTCCATCCTGAATATGAATTTATATCATCCCCGGGGGCCACGATCGGCCCCCCTGAGGTTCCCTTGTAAAAAAATAATTCGCGGGGACTTTTTTGTTCTAACATAAGACGTTGTCACGAATTCCTTGCAAACATTGACGAAGTGCACACGCGCGCGTCGCCGCGCGCGCATGCCGAAATCCTTCAAACACCTTCGGTGTCGGAAGAATTTCGCAATCGAGTTCCTCAAACACATAAAAAAACACAGGATTTCGCAACACTGATTTGCTAAAACAGTTTACGTGCGAGCTCTCGCGAAATCTTAAGAAAACCATAGGTTGTTCAAGATTTTCACAGAATGCCATGTCGAAATCTGTCGAACGCCCTTGCGCGTGTGCCGTCGCGAAAGTGCTCCGCAAAAATGGGACGAAGTGCAGACGCGCGCGTCTTCGCGCGCGTATGCCGAAATCCTTCAAAAACCCATCGGTTTCGGACGGATTTCAAAATCGTATGTCCACAAAACCTACAAAAGCGTGCGCGCGCGCTCTTGCGTCGTCGTCGTCGTCGTCGCTCCTCCCGCGTCGTCGTCGTCGTCGTCGCCTACGTCGTCCTCTGTCTTTCCTCGTGTTCGTCGTCGTCGTTCTCTTTGGCGTCGTGGTCGTTTCCGTCGTCGTTGTCGCCGTGGTCGTCCTTCCTCCCCCTCCCTCGTCGTCGTCGTCGTCCGTCGTCGGCGTCTCGACGTCGTCCCTCCTATTTCGTCGCCGTCGTCGTGGTCGTCGTTGTCGTCGTCGTCGTCTTCCCTCCTCCCTCGTCGTTGTCGTCGTCGGCGTCGCCGTCCTCCCTCCTTCTTCGTCGTTCGCGTCGTCGCCGTCCTCCCTCCCTCGTCGTTGTCGTCGTTGTCGCCGTCGTCGTCCTCCCTCCTCCCTCGTCGTCGTCTTCGTTAGCGACGTCGTCGTCGTCTTCGTCGTCGTCGTCGGCGTCGGCGTCGTCGTCGACTTCGTCGTCGTCGACGTCGGCGTCGTCGTCGTCGCCGCCGTCGTCGTCGTCGTCGTCGTCGGCGGCGTCGTTGACGTCGTCGTCGTCGGTGTCGTCGTTGTCGTTGTCGTCGTCGTCGGCGTCGTCGTCGTCGTTGTCATCGTCGTCGTCGGCGTCGGCGTCGGCGTCGTCGTCGTCGTTGGTGTCGTCGTCGTCGTTGTCGGCGTCGACGAAGTCGTTGGAGACATCGTTGGTGTCGTCGTTGTCGTAGTCTGCGGCGTCGTCGTCGTCGTCGTTGTCATTGTCGTCGTCGGCGTCGCTGTCGTTGCCAAGTGCCATTTGGTACCCACCGTCACGGTCTTAAGAGATTTTGCGGGTGGGTGGGATGTTTGCAATGACGTGGGATGTGTTATTTCTTCTGTGAAAGCCAACTGCACCGCATGAATTGCACTTCGTAGGTTACTCCGCGCATATTGCTCCACATAACGTGCAGCACAGATCTTGCAAATAGTTGGTTCGAAATTGTGGCTCGCTTCTTGATCGCGTACAACATATATTGGACTACAGATCTTGCACACTATATATTGCACCACATGGATTGCGCGACGTGCATCGCACAATCTAGGTCGTGTCATACATTTTGCCCCGCGTATATTACACCATACATTTGTTGCTGTAAAAAGTATCGACTCTACCCCCTTCCCCCCGACTTAGCGATACCCCTTCGCGCATTGCGTTTCCAGATTTATCTTGTACACCCGCCCATCCTACATATGAGCTCGTAGGATCCCGGCTAAACTGGTATCGCCCCAGTCCTCCCTTGCTAACTACTCATATGTATATATATATATATATGTATTCGCGCGCACTCGTTTATCAAACAGCATCAGTTTTGAATCTTTTGCAACAGATGGGACGAAGTGCACGCGCGCGCGCGCGCGAGTCGTCGACTCCGCATGCCGAAAATCGCAAAAAACACAGGAGTCGTAAGGATGTCAACATCGAGCGAGATATGGTATCGCAATGAGACTTTCCCAAACAAACTTGCGCCCACGCATTTTCGAATTCCCCAGGGAGCCATCGGTTTTTTAACAGCTTCATGTCATGCTACCAAACGTGCCTCTCGCGCGCGTCCAAATCATTTGAACGCCCTTGCACGCGTGCTGTCGCAAGAATCCGTTGCAAACAATGGGACGATGTGCACGCGCGCGTCATCGCGCGCGCATGCCGACATCTTTCAAAAACCCCACGTTTCGTGGACTTCCAAAAACTAGTGTCCCGGAAAAACATAAAAAACAACATAGTTTCGCAACATCAATGTTCAAAGAAGTTTGCGCTCGCGCTCCTGCGAGTTCTTAAGCAAACCATCGGTTTTCAACAGATTCATTATATTCGGCCAAGTGGGCCTCTCGCGCCGCATGCCAAAATCATTCGAACGCCCTTACGCGCGTGCTAGGCGGGCACGATTCGTCATGATCCGTGTCAAAATATGCGGGCCATTGTCGTGCGTCGGCCGCGCGCACATGTCGAACTCCGTCCAAAACCTTTATCACCGACGCGAGGACACCGTCACCGTTGCCCGCGTGATTAGCATCGGCGCCGTCACTGGCCTTGCCATCGTCGTTGTCATCATCGACACCAGCATCTTTGCCATCATCATCGTGTCTATCGTTGTCGACGTTGCCATGATACCGCGCACGTGCAAGTCGCCGAAACGCATTGAAATGCCCGCCGGGAAGTGTTCAGAGGTCATCGCCACCGTTGCCGCGTCAGTTGCACCAGACTAGCTGGCCGGATCGCGCACGAGCATGCCCGGGGTAGACCGGCCTCAGATATGCACAAGCCGACACCAAACACATCGCAATCGCCGTCGCATGGGCTTTTGCAAACCAAGTTGCGGGTGGGTGGGTGGGAGGTTGCGCGAGCAGTAGATTTCACAATTGACTGCGAACGGAAATTCAAGTTCACCACGTAGACTGCACAACCGATATGGCACAACATCTATTGCACCACTCAAAATGGACCACGCAAAGTTTCTTCACACAGATTGCACTACAGAGATATCGCCACCTATATCGGTAGCGACCCACTGTTTGGGGCCCTCGTTGGGAAAGACATTGATTTTAAACCGCAGTTTGCGCTTGTGGAAACCCAGCGATCTGGGGAACAGCGTGTTGCCTTTCTTCAGACCAGCTTAGCGATGACGCCATGGGATTCTATGTCGTTCGGTGAGATGTCTTGTGCTACAGGGCGCTACTGTGGGTGCTCGCAACATACTGTGGATGTCTTGTGAGCAAGAGCACTGAGTGCTCTTGCTTACGGCCGCAGACATTTTCTCGCTTGCCATAAATGGCAGCTGACTTGAGGCTTCGAGTACGTCTTAGTCATTCGGTCAGATATCCTGAGCTACAGTGCGTTACTCCTGTTGCTCGACACTCGTTGGGCCTCTCGCTCAGTCTGTCTGTACCTCTCCAGCCTGTGCTGTCTTCGGCTGCCGTAGCAGACTTCGCCTCACAATCCTTCCTCCTGGTTCTCCCTTTGCTTTTCCGTTCGCCATTCATCGCAGTTTGCCAGCGGCATCGCCACCTATGCGGGGCGAGCGTAGGTCTGGTTGAGAGCCCACAGTTTAGAATTGTTTGTGGTAGTTTGATTCGCGTCTGCGCGCACCCATTGCTGTCCAGGTTCTTGCGGCTCGCCGTTGCTCCAGCAGCTGCCAGGACTAGATGAAAGCAGCTCCGCAGTCGCCGACTAATTCTGCTCTACCGATCGCGCAGCCAGTCTCCCAAGACGGCACCCAAAAAAGACCAGCCGTTTCCAAGAGAACCCAACCGATAGATTCCCAAAGCACGCACGCGAGGCTTCTGCTTTAGATGCAATTCTTCCACGTCCTTCTCCTCGTGCTCCTCGTCCCTCCTCTCCGTGTCGTTATCATCCTGCTCGTCAGAGGCCGCTTACCCAAAGGAGCTTGCGTGGGGCTCCGTCTTCTTTCGCAGCGCACCAGAAGTCGCGTGGACCCGCGCCGATTGTGCTGAACACAGCAGTGGTGCTCCAGCAGTGGTGCGAGGCGGTATGGTCTGGCGCGGTGGCAGCAAGGGCATTGCAGGCGGCACTGGGGT